AGACATTTTGGAGTAATTACCGCCATTTGAAAGAATAAAAAGTTTATCCAAGGAAATATCATTGCTACGTCAAATAATATCTGGTAAATAATAGTATTTTTTGTTTACCATAAAATTGCCTTAATTCTTGGTATAGAAAGTAAATAATATTAATTGGTGGAAATTATTAGAAATCTCACCTTTTAACCTAGATTGTTTCAATTGATATGTTGCTTATCGCAATACTTACAATTCAATCCATAAATGGTTTTTTGCCAAGATTTAAAATTAACTTATTGTGAACTATAACAAAAATTTTTAAATATTATAAAAAAATTAGTTAACTTACAAATCACATTTTTTAGTAACCTTTTATTATATGGGTATATATATTATTTTTTTATAGACAAATGATTACATCGTAATAAATATTAATTTTTACTTATTAATCCCTACATTCAATAAACTATATTCACAAGATAAATGAATAATTAATTAAAAAAAAATTAAGGAAAATAAGTACTTCACTCATAACCTCTTATTGCTACTATGTTTCTGATCTAAACAGACATGCGGAACTGAATCACTATTACAACATGCATAACGGATGTCAAAATGAACTGTAAAAAGTAAAGAAAATATTTGTTTAAAATTTTAATTAATAATAAACTAAACTTACCCTACCCAAAGTCTTGTTATTAACTCGCAAAAATCCCCCAGCATTGAAGACAATCCTTTCATGCATCAACTGTGAACGCATTTTCTGCAGACAAGAGTATAAAGCTGTATTTAAGTGGGGACTTACACTGACGCTATTAAGGATGAATAAATATTTTTTGTGCTTTAAGAATAAAAATGGAAATAATTATCGATTAAGTTGAATGCATTGAAAGCTTCTGTTTACCACTTTTTCACATTTTGCAGATAAGTTGCAAATAATGTATAATACACCAAATTGCAATATTAATGAAAAAAATCCATCTGAAATTCAATTCGCAGATATTAATTTATTATCATTAAATAGAAAATAGTATCTGAAACTTACAATTAATAACATAGAAGCTTTTTGTATAACGTATGCTTAGAAACATCCAGTAAGACTTGGTGGAGGAATCGAATATGAGTTGAAGTAATAAACTAGGCAAACTGAAAGCAAAATAATTGTTGATATGGCAAACAATTTCCCAAAGCAAACTGTGTATATCCTGCAGAGTATATAAACGAACCATATATGTGGCTGGAATTGGACGCGTATTGCGTTGTTTGTACTCCAATACACTGATATACATTTGGCTAACATTAAAGACTTCTTGGTAAATACATAGCACCACTGCGACAAACAAAGAAAACTCCAATGTTTTCATTTTTAATATAAACTCTGTGTAATAGCCAAGCAACATACGTGGATGTCTGGCTCCGGACCAAATCATCAGGCCTAAAACAGTTCCACGCAACAACCAGTATAGCACATAGAAGCCATATAATCGTCCACAGTATATTTTAATCCGTTTGGAATTAATTTCATAACTAAGTTGCACTGAGAGTTTGTTGTATATTAAATCGAGTTTTGAAAAAATCTTTTGATAATAAGCTTCAATCTTCCAAGTGCTCTCAATTTGCATAACAATGTGCACACTTATCAGCATTGTCATGCCAATTATGTCCAATACGAAGGACATCAAGTCATTTAACTCGTAGCCAACACCTTTAATAGGTTCTAATCGTATCCAGTACAAGTAAATAACAATATAGGACAATACCAGTAAATGTAAGCATTTCCAAAAGGAAGAGAAGATGAAATTGATATTTTTTAATTTTATTTGGCAAATTTTACACGGTGCCATGCCCACCAGATACATTAAATGTTTCATGTAATATAGCGATGAATTATAAATTACGCCCATTTTATTTTAATCAATTACTTATTTCCGTTTTTAACTTAAATTTCTTATTAAAATAATTTATTTATTTTATCTATTGTTAGTTTTATAATATTTTACGAATGAAAGAATACAACCACTCGACTCTCTAGCAATAATTTTAGAGTTGCCAGACACGTAATATGATGCTTAGTGTCCTTTAGACAATTAAAGTTTGAATATGTAAAAGTACTTAATAAGATATCACAATAATATTCTAATATCATAATATTAATATTAGCAATAGTAATATTATATAATAATAATAACAATAATAATAGTAGATACGCATCCGTTGGAGAGGTTATTGAACTGAAGCCTTTCCCGAAATGAATCGAAGTACAATTTTTACACATATATGTATTTATTGTATTATTAATGTATGTCTGCTTGTAAGATTGTTATAAGTTTTAATAATACAATTTTTTTTTTAATCACTGATATCTAAAAGTCGCATTCCTATCGCTATACAAATTTTTACTTATTTTATTACCAATACACCAAATATGGTGAAAACAACTTTTTTTCCACAAGTAGAAAGTACCAACAAACCACCCATGAGACTTTAACCTATATTATTCTTTGGAATGAATAATGAAGATTTTAGATGGTAAATCCTAAAGATCAGAGTGCGAAAAACTCAATTACAGTTAACAATGGCAAATGTAGAAGTTAAGAGACTTAACATTTTGAATTCTGAATTCATCCGAAACAAACTTCAAGGAAAGTTATGAAGAAGAAATTTAGATGGCTGAAAGAAAGATCACTCCAAGGAACAGTAATATATATAAATTTGTAGACCTTTGAAGAAAGACAAGGTTATTTTTTTATAATTTTTGTATTTATATTATTGATGTTTAAAACACTGTTAAAGTATATTAGTATAAAATAAATTGTTGTTCGGAATCGGATATGGGACAATCTCTGATCACTAATTTATGAGCATTGTTAGCAATATGCCAATAGTCCACTGAGACCCTTAAAATTTCTTTCATATTAATAAAACTCAGTACTTCAAATTTCGGGTTTCAGATTTCGGGCCGACGTTCCGTTAGCTTCGTCATTCTACGGCTGACAGAACCCAATGTTGGGTTTTGCTATATTGTATTAATTGTAGCAATATGATCTTTGCCATCGTGACGGCTTTGGTGCATGTGGCGAACCACTGAACTTACTGCATAATATTTAATAAAAGTAAAACCAACACAGACCATTTTTGGTGGGCTTTCGCAAAGGAAGAATTTTCGTATAGTTATGGTGGAACTGTTGCCAGCTATGTGTCGACAAGTCGTCGATTCCCTCAAAAGGATTCTGACTGAAAAAAAATATTTGAATGATATTGTAACTCATTCCTGCTAATAAGATTCATATTGAACATACTGAAATAAAAGTCTAATAGAAATCTTAATCATAAATGTATTTTATTTATTTGCTCTTCCGAAACCATAAACAGGATAACTCTATAAAAAAAGTCTAAGAGAGAGCGAATGGTTGATCAATAATGAATTTATTTTTGTTAAGTAAAACAAACGGATTAATATTAAACAATATTCACAGTTATTATTCATTTTCATTATATTATATATATAAAAAAATCGTTTTAATGTTTTTGTAAAAACTCTATAAAGACATACGAAACTGCAGGAGTATGACTATATGCATAATGATTACCATAAGAAACTGAAATCAAAAAAAGCACGTACTGATTAACGTATTATTAACTAATTTATATGTATTTAAAAAAATTATTTTACCTTTGCAAATGCGTTGTCGTTGATGTCAACGAATCCCACGTCCTTAAAAATTAATGTCTCATGCATCAGTTGGGAACGCAGTTTAAGCAAGCATGAATTTAAATATGGATTTAAATGTTGCTTATTAGATGCATTGTTAAATAAAGTACGGAATTTTTTATGCTGAAAAGTCAAGAATAGTATTTGTGTAATAACAAATCTTAGTTTCAAAATAATTCAAACTTTATTCTAACCATTATTTCACACCTTGTACACAAGTAACACATGAGCTTTACAGAAGAAAATTGGAGAATCATTGAAACCGAACCATCTGTAAGATATTAGAGATCAAACATAAAAAATAGACTTGCTTAGAGTTATTATTACTTACATGTACATATAACAGCCATGTCCCTCTTATAATATCTTGTAGCTAGAAAGATGAAATAAGATTTAGCAGCGAAATCTGAAAAGATTTGCAAAATCAGACCAGTTACGCTAATAGCAAAATAATCCTTTATATCGTTTACGACCTCCCATAGTAAGGTATGTATATCCTGCAAAATATTCACACGAGACGAATACAAACGACAGATTGGCCAAGTGTTACAGGGAACGTATTCCAAACTTATAGTGAGTAGTTTTCCAATCGTATATAACTCCTGATACATGCATAATACAATTCCAGAAAATAAAGTAAATTCAAGCATTTTCATTTTTAAAGCCATCTCCGTGTAATAACCAAGTAAGAAACGTGGATTTCGAGCTTCAAAGATAACCGTTGATAATTGAGTTGGTGTACGTATTAACCAATAAATTATATAAAAAACATACAAACGTCTTGAGTTTACTTTGAGGCGTTTTAAATCTATTTCGTGGTGTAATTGTTCTGTACATTTTTCTATTATACATTCCAGTTTTGAAAATATTTTTTGGTAATAATAATCTCTTCTCCAAGTGTTGTCAACTTGTATAACTACATGCACTAGAGCGGATATGACCATGGAAATCACATCTAATGAATGGGACATCAAGTCGGTAAGCTCATAACCAAGTCCACTTACATAAGATAAACGTATGTGAAGAAAGAAAAAGAAAATGAATATTACGATGAACATATGTATGGACTTCCATGCGACACAAGACATTAATGAAGAATTTTTTCTATTTATTGTCTGATAGAGATTCGGTGTCATGCCTATGAAAAGCATCCAGAGTTGCAAATAATGCAGAGAGTTTTTATAGATTATACACATTATTTAAAAATTATTACATTTAAAAAATTAATACTTTTTTGTTAAAAAAATGTGAAAATTCTTATTGATTTTTTATTTGTTTTTTTTATGATATGACAGTCTATTCCACTTAAAGGTTGTATTGCAATGAACTGACAAAGTGGAATAAATTTAAACACAACATGCAACAATGTTTCTTATTGTAGTTTATGGAGATACACAATTATCCTGCTATAATCCTTCCTGTTCAGGGAGTTTTTTTTAAATAGTCAATTTCTCATAATATTTAATTATATTTAGATTAATATGAACGTTAAAAAGTACACTGAATATTAGTGTATAAAGTTTTTATATTAAATATCTTTAATCTTTAATTCATTTGATGAATAACCCTGTAATCGTGTAAATTTTATATATCATTATCTTTCAATATCATAAATGTCAATATTGTTTTATGTTATTTTTCTAACGTTGACAACAATTAGAAAAATTCCATTTATTTACTTTCGGTTTAAAGTTTTTATACACCCAATGTGAGGCTTTCATAGATGGTCGCACATAAAACAGGACGACCACGACACAAACACATCACCAACCAACAAAAAGTTTGTCTGTGTTAATGCATCCTTCTGCCACACACTCGCATGTGCTGCTTTCCATTGTCAGTGACATTCTTTTGGACTCCTTTAGTCGAGTTAGGAGCAAACAAATAGACACGCATTATCCTTTTCAGTTCTTATTTCATTAACTTTTTTGTCTATTTTTAACTTTTAGTTGCTGTCAACAAGTTAGCAATTTTCTTAAGTGAAGTGTGTGTTATGGTTGGCAAGGACATGTTGGTTTTGTAAGCAAGGCTTAAAATGTTTTTCCTCTCTATCCTATTTATATATAAGTATGACCGATATTAAGTGCGCAGTTCCAATTTTTTTTTTAGATAATAATACATCTATGTTCACATGAAGTTAAATGTTTAGAACTAATTGTACATTGTTATCCTGTGTTAAATTTAATTAAGAAAAGTGTATTTAAACAAATTGGAAGGTGAGAAATATAATTTCAATTATGTTTTACTGTGATTTTTATAGATTATTTTATAACAATCAATGTATCTCTTTAAAAAATTGCCCATACATTGATTTTATTTCCTTAAATAACATCAAACCTTTTTAAAATATTCATCTCCTTTCGAGAAATCATAAAAATTAAATTTTAAAATATTTAAATAAAAGTTTAATAACAGTTTTAAGGACTAACAAAAGTTTAAGAAATACTAAGTCTATTCGCCAGCTAGAAATTGTAGAAAGCCAGGCTCTGAGAAGACTTTTCAAAGTAACATGGTACATTAGGACGAATGCCAGGGGGACCTCAAAATTTATCCCATCAAAAAATACATAATGGATAGAGCCCTGAAATTATTTACGAAAACTGACAGACTTACCAGCAACGCGTTATCAAATCTCAGAATGGTTACAGGATCCTCGGGGAGGTACGCAGATCTAAGGTCAATTACTACTTAGTCTGATGAAGTGATAAACAATAACCCAGTCAAGGCGTAAAAAGGGGTTTTAAAAATACCTCGAATTAAGAAAGAGTAAAAATGCTTAAGTGCACTGGCTCAAATAGCTTCAACATAAATATATTAAGTCAAGAAAAAAAGTCAATCTATCTACTTTTGAAACTTAACCGAAACTATAGTTTTTTAAAAATGAAAGACTGGATCTAATAATTTTTCGAATTATGTATACTAATTAAATTTCTTATGTATGGATGTAATCAAGGAGAAAGAGCTTATGGAAGGATGGCATCCAACTAAAAAGGTGCCAGAAACAACATTTCATAATAAGTCAAGGGCAGTAATGAATGTCGATCTCCTCACTTAAATATGATTGATACAGCACTGCGAAAAGATAGGCATGATTATGTTCAGACAGTCCTGTGCAACAATTGAAAACATACGTTACCGATTTTTTTTTATTCAACTATGTTTATAAATAATGCCTTTACATTCTCTGCATTAACTTTTTCCTTATTTACTTTTTTCTACATTTACAATTTCTTTTTTGAATCGTAAGATAATAATAAATAATTTTATTTTTCTCTAGTCCTATAACTGATATGAAAATATTTTCGTTTTCAATTGGTGACCATAATTTTCAGTCAATCACAAATTGTTTTCCCTTATTTATTTTAATAATTTTAGTTATGATATTTTAGTTTAGTATAAACAGTAGTATTGAAATTTAACAGTTAAAAATAAAAATATAATTAATTAATTCAATTATTATACAGCTGGTTTATGATTTATGATAAAACTTCAGAAAAACGTGGGAACATAAAAGTCAAGTAAGGAACGCTGACTCTGAGCTTCAAATTTGTGCAGGGCACAAGTTCAATTCCTGGTACTTGCTATCTCAAAAAATTATTTACAAATAATAAAATATAAGAATTATTTTCAAGAACACTGATGATGGGTATTTGGCAATACTCGAAACAGTTGTATGGTCAGCCAAAAATTCAACTAATTAAAATAATATAAAAAAGCATTTTTGTTGTTGTAGTTCACTACTTTTCGAAAACCTCTTTATAATTTTAGTTATGCAATTTGAAATTAATACGCTATTTAAGTTTCACATATAAAAGACCTTAAGACACTATTTGTCAAAATAAATTCAGATGACTTTTGTATAAATTCAAACGAAAATAAATTTATATGACTTTCGTCTTACTTTCCTATTAATATAAATATATTATATATATTAATGTGTCTATAACAACAACAATCAAATTTTTCTGTTTTCTGCTCTAATAATATTCTTAGGCTCATCTATCAAAATATACGAATGATTTTCTGAAACTTTGCCAAAAATAACCTCAAGTCCATTTTAATTAAGTAAGGAAAAGTCAAGTGTATTTTAATTAAATAAATGAAACATTATTAAGTACGGAATCCTTAATATGTATATAAAAGTACAAATAAGAATTTTATTCTGGACCTCATACAATCCAACTATGCGTGCTTTTACATTTCTGATACCTTTCAGTTGGACAAAAATTATTTTTCTGCTAATGAAACGTGCAACGCATACAAGATTTGCTTGCAACAACTTATGAAAGTTGCAGAAACTTCCTCTACTTTTGCAAAAGGAGAATCGTCTGCTCCTTTTTTCTCGTAATTTTTCCATTTCACTTCGTCTTCATTATCATAACGTTTTGTTATTATATTTTTAATATTTACATTGTTTTATCAGAGATCACAAAAATATAACACATGCAGCGACTTAGAAAATATTATTTGCAACAAACTTTCTAAAAAAAATTAAAAGAAAAAATCCTTATGAACGCAGTTGAACTGTAAGAATACTCGTATTATCCTTGCACGCATACAAATCCTGCAAGAACAGCAAAAACAATAAAAAAAGTTACTAAATTATGCTGTGAAGTGAGTGGTGTTGCAATGGGCGATGGGCGTTGGGCGTTGGGCGTTGGGCAATGGATGTTGAGTCTAACTCAAGCCCCTGCTAACTGCTCTGAACCAAGGAGCATTACAAGGATTTTTGTTACATTCCGTTTGGTTTTTTTTTTCAAGGATTTTTTCTGCCACTTTTTCTTACGCATGCATACGTAAATCGCGTAAGTGTCTGACTTACTCAAATTTTACTCGAATTGAATATGAATTGCAAAAAGTTTTATTAAAATCCGAGGTGAACACAGCAGATTGCTGAAGTTCTTATGATATATTATAATTTGGTATGTTTGCGAGTGACAGATGTCAAACAAAGTGAGAAATATTTTATATATATTTAAATGTTATTCCAAATTTCATATTCTAAGCGTGTAAATGGAAAGAAGTTTCGCAAGAATTTCTAAAGATATAAAATAAATATTTAATTTATTTTTGATATAAATTTTTTCTTAAAATTTAACTTATCACGTTATATGATAGATGACCCGAACTTTTAACAAATGACAATTTGGCAATAGAGAATATTTAATCGTCCTCATGAATACATTGTTTCAAAGCATTTAACCCATTGAATATAAATCTGATTCAAAAATATTCATATATAATAAACCAGATTAATTTACAAAATTGATTCAAGGTTTTTCATATATAACAATGGATAATGGATAATAGTGGAGTTTTTCATATAATGGATTCCCGTAGTTGAACATTTATCAATATAATACGTTTGAATAATGAAAGTTTCTGTTTCTTTAGAAATTATATCTTGATTCACTAATGAATGGCAAATAACTCACAAAACTTTCCTTTGATATCTTTTTTCAGTGAAGGGAGCTCTTTCAGTCGCTAATAATCACATCACTAAAGCTAGCACTTATAAGAAATTCTGAAGAAACTAGAGACAGTGATCTGTAAAACATCAATAGTTGAATAACGATTACTGTAATCAAAGATAGTTAGCTAGACCTAACAGGCTTAACATTTAGCAAGTTTGATTCAACAAAACCGAAGAGCATAAACAACAAGTAAAACCAAGTGAAACATTGAGACTAGTTCACTGCTGTAGAATAGAGACAGATCTGTGATATAATTATACTCCAATATTGTGACTGGAAAGGGGAAGTCTGCGGTATGTTTATACTCCAATATTACGAATTGAATAGGAACAAGATTGCGATATACATAATTATATGCCAAATGAGAAAATAATTACTATATATTATATATCTCTCAATTTTATGAGTTCCATATAAAATATTTTCAAATTTGGTTGGCCTTTGTAGGACTTCATTGAAATTGGAATTAAATGGACTTGTGACTTATAATTTGAACCATGTAAACATCAATATTAATAATAAAAAGAGTTATACACAAAAAAGCTAATGCAGTATTTGTCGACGGATCTGCGCTAATAGTTGTGCTAACTACAAGCAACTCCTCTTTCAAAGGTTCGCATCAATACCGTTTCATGCAAATAAATTGCTATCCAGATTACGAGAGATGAGATATATAACTAACAGCAAAATATTTTAATCTGTACTATTAAACTGACTGCAATACACTACCACATAGAAACGCAAACTGTTTGGTATGAACCGTAGGACTCTGTATATTTCATTTTGCAAGGATTAAACCAATAGGAAATATCGAATTTATGTATTTTCTTTTTTTAAGTTTGAAAAGTTGTTATTTGTACGTATATATTTCTGTATAAATTATTTAAATATAACCTTTCATTAAACTATATTTCAATAATTTGGTTTAAATTTGACAATAAAAAGTAACTTAATGGACTTCTAGAAAAGATACAATAAATCGAAGAACTTTCAAATTCTGTAATTAATGGTGGCACATCTTTAATCATAAATAATAATTTAATAAATTTCATTTTAAATATATATTTTAATATGCTTTATTTTTAAGTCTAATTTTGATTTACTAAAGTATTCATTTAAGATAATTAAAGCTACAAGTAATTTTAGTAAGAGAATTCAAAATAATTCATTTGTGATGTGACTCCTTTAAAGTCATATTCCTTCTTTCTACATTTTTGTTCTCAATCGAAGTCACTACCACTTAATATATTTTGATATCCTTCAACTCGATTCTCTACAGAAATTCGACTACTCATTGTACTGCGAAAGACATCGCGCTTCATTTTCGTTCTCCATCCTTCTTAATTTTTATTTTTAATAAAATTTTAGGTAGTCCCGTGTTTTCCTTTTATTATAATTATAGTGTGTACAATATTGTTTATTTAAAGTATTTTTTTATGAAAATAATAGAAAAAAAATTTAAAAATCCTTTTTCAATGTTGTGCTTCTAAAAATCTCTTTTGCATTGCTTCCTTCTCAGCATCTCTTTGCAACTTAAACTGCAACATAATAACAATATAAGTTGTAATAGTAAATACCATCTAAAATTGAAAAAAGAAAAATTAATAAAACCATCTGGAATTGTTTTAGTTTTGAGCTTATTTAAATATTGAAAATATTTTCATTATTATCAACGAAATACAGAGTTCAACTGTAGATCTGCCAAAAACAATCTCCTTTCTCAAACACGTAGGTTTGCTAAAATATAAGACCTCATAATAGTAGGTGTCGTAACATAACAACGCCTATGCGACAGAATTATCAGAGAGAAATCGGTACTAAAACCAACCAACCGCTTGAGTCCAATTTTGTAAGCAAAACAATGAAGTTTAATATATCGCAGAAAATTTTCCTTTGTATATAGATTTTTTTTTGTATGCTTATCTTAAATGAAAACCGACGATCCAGACGATAGTCCACCCAATATATTTAAAGCGGCTATCTGAGGAAAAATGGAAGAAAGCGCTCAGGCAGGAAAGATGTTTGATTCGATACCCGTAGGTGGAAAACCTAATAGAGGAAGTCCGCATCTTTGGTAGAAGGATCAGTTGACCAACTATTTGAAGGCGCTCGTACTACCAACTGGCAACAGCAAGCAACTGATCGGGCAGGCTAGCGAAGGCTATTCGATTCGGCCAAGGACAACTCATGTCTGTAATGACTAACTAAATATAAGAAATATAAACATACACATCTGAGGAAGAAGGCATTAGACAAGATTGTGTTTCTGGTGAAGTGTTACAGATGAGGGAGCATATATTGGTTTTAATTTGCTGTGTAGGCAGCAAGGGGCATTGAATTAAAGCATCAAGAGAGGAGTGTAGGATCGAAATAAAACCCGGTTACGAGCCCAAAGCCACTAAATAAACTGCTAGATAGAACAAAAATACTATGAAAATAATAATATGAAAATATATGTATATATACTTATTTACGAAACCAAACTACTACTGGAACATTCATTATAATTAAATTTAAATGTTTAAAATCGAGTTTTGTAAGGAAAACAAGCGCATGTAAAAAATCCTGATTAAAAAAACTCTTATCCGCGGATGCAAAGTTTGTACATTTAGAAGTATAGAAATATATGTTGGCAGAATCCTGCGAAAATTCTGTGGCCCTATAATGGACACATGTCTTATTTCAAATTTACTTTAGCTATGATATAGAAAGAATAATAAATGGACGAAGTACACAATATATGTAACGATCAAGCTTATACGATAATTGATCAGACCTAGTTTCACACTAATTCAAAAACAATATTAATACAATATTAAAAAACAAAAGCTATGTTTAGTGCTTGAAGAAGCACTGATCCAGTTTAGATGGTTATACTAAAAAAAAGAAGAAGTGGGTATAGTGTATTGATATTTACCGCTCCGAAGTTCTTCAAGTTGAAATCAAAAAAACCTCCACAGGTAAACACGATTTTCTGGTGCATCAATTGAAGTGAATACTCTCGCAAGCGCATAATCAAAACAATATTTAATTTCTCAAACTTGAGACTATGTAGCAGCAAACCAAATCGATTATACTGAAAAACAAAAAGAGTCATGTTAGGTACATCACAAAGAAACTGAGCTAACCTACCGCATTAATGCAGTTTTGACAAACCCAACATGGTACGAGCATAATAATGGCCATTATGACAGCGAAAAATGTGCGATCTGCAAATAAATAATTAATAATTGAAGTAATTATATGAAAAGCAATAACAATGACATCATTTACATATATTTTTATCATCATCACGTCTAAGTATATATATCCAGTTAATGGTGTGACTTATAACCAAACAATTGTTTAGGAAAAGCACAAACATAGGAACGGAGTAATAGTTTTCAACGGTTCCCACCAAATGCCAAATACGTGCCAAGAAGTTTTGATTGGCTTGTAGGCAATCATAGAGCAGTTTTTGTTTGGAGGCATCACACTCAAAGCTTGTTAAGCACTCACGTCTTAAACATAATAAATTCTCCTGCAGTTGTAATAGAATTTCATGAATGGCTTGCACAACAACACAGAACTGCACTGCCATATTCTGTACCAAAATATCGGATACCACAGTCAGTAATATATGATACCAAGGAGTGCCATCGATGAAGTGGCTTGCGTGCACATATGGCATGAAAATGAACAGCAGCAACATTAGAGTTCCTGAATAACTAGCCAGACATCGTGTCAAGTTCGTGCGCGACTCGATATGAGTTTCAGTTAGCAGACTGCAACGCCAGTGTATCTCACGTTCCAAATGCACGATATTTACAAAGAAATTGCTCAGTTGTCGATAGCCGAGCAATGCGGTTATTTGTAGTACAACTTGTACCAGGGACATGCTAACACTTTGTCCAATGCCCAGAAAACTGGTGATGCTATCCAGCGACGAGCCAATAACCAAATTTTCAATTAGCATGTTATTTAGGTAGGTGGCCCAAACGGTAATAGCCAGCAAAATTAGTGCATAAATTGTGTATAGTAGACGCAGGAACGCACTACGCCTTGGGTTTTGTATATTGCAAGCTAAAAGCGGTGGCGGTGCCATTAAACCGAAAAATGCAAAAATCCATTGGTAAGGCGCTGTCGCAGCTAATATTTGTGACTTGAGTATTGCATTTACTTGGTTGAAACCGTACATATTTGCACTGAAAGTGTAGTCAAACTGAAGAAGTTCTCTGGATCGAAAAGTGACTATGGAAATGTGCTTTGCGTGTGATAAGAAATATTAATTTATCTTCGCCGTTGTCTCATTGCATTTAATTTAATTATTTTTTGTGTTACTCATACGTCACGTAGTGCAGCGTGCAGTTGGCAAGACTAATGTGTGCAGATATTATCAGAATTGGTTCTTAGACGTTTTAATAAAAATTGCTTGAATTTTATTCACAGTACGTTTCAATATAAATTTTAATTGTAGTTGTGTGTAACATAAGGTTCATGTGCTACATATAACTAATTGGCACAGCATATATATTATATATTTTCTTGTCATAGCACATAAAATTCTCAATTAAGAAATATTCCACAAATTGCAAGTATAATCTACTTTATAGTAAAGAAATTGGGGAAAAAAATTGCTAAAATGTTAATTAGAGATGGTAAATGTAAAAGAAGAAAGCAGCTAATTTAAAAGTATTGAAGTTTTATTCATCAAGAAATTTTAATCTGATTTAATTAAATACATTAGAACTTAAAAATATTTAGAATATAACTCAAAAACTATCGACTTTGTTTAGTTGACGCATTGGGATCACTTTGCAATTTAAACTGTATCATAATAACAATGTACATAATAATGGTGAGCAATAACTGCAAGTTATGTATAGTTAGAAGATATTTCTTATAGACACCATATATAATTTAAATTACCGCCCCAAAATTCCTTAAATTGAAGTCGAAGAATCCACCGCAACTAAAGACTATCTTCTGATGCATGAGTTGTAGTGAATATTCCTTTAGTCGCATGCTTAGTACAATGTCCAAGTCATCGGTTCTTAAATTGTGCAATAAGGTTCCAAAGCGATTGTACTGCAAATTAATTTAAATACCATCCATTAGTAAGTATACATTAAACAGCATATTATTGTATATCACACATATACATGAACATCAGAAATTGGTTTAGGTTTTGACTTTATGAAACAGGTTTAGACTTATTTGGTTCAATAAACAATCAATCAATTAACAATTTTCTCCTTTAGCATTACGTTACATTATTAAATAATACAGTTCTGCTTCAATTTTTATTTAAAACTCTCCCACCGTACTCACTCATATAACTATTACTTTGCTCAATTAAATAAACTAAAGGATCTTGAAAGTTGTGGACTCATAAATATTCATTAACTTTTACACCTAATTCTATTGGAATAGGTATTCGATACATCTCATCATTAAATCATATTTTAAGACTATATGATATAAATCTGAATTCAGTAATTATCTTGAAGAAGATGTTTTTCTTTAAGATAACAACTTCTTTGTAAATTCTTCATAAAATTTTTCTTAAAATTTTCTAGTACTATTAGCTGGCACTTATATTATTTTCATTTTTCTAAGTTTTTTCTATCTTCATTATTAATCATATGTATGTATGTTGATTTTTCATATTCTTCAATGTTTTTGGTGCTGTTAGCTAGCACAAATATTATACTAATTTTTCGGAGTTTGTCATTATTTAAGCTAGCATTTTAACTTTATTTTTCTTCTTCAGTTCCAGTGTAGTTTATTGGGACTATAATTTTTGCTAATATATAAATATAAACAATATTTTTATACTTAATTTAGAACTAACTGCTTCTTTTAGTAAAGTCTAGGGTCTCATTTCAAAAATTATGTGAATTAAATTATAGTAAACAGTATTTAGTGGACAATTGTTGTACTGAACTTACCGTATTAATACAAATTTGACTGAGCCAGCAGGGAACCAACATATTTAGAATCATAATTGCAATAAAACCACCTTGATCTATAAGAAAATATATATATTTGATATGAATTCAGATCACTAACAATAGAATTTATAAATAATTTGTTGCCTTTTATATCGAAACAAATGATATATAATAAGAACATTACCACACTTTTAAGAGACTGTATTATCTTACATGCCAACACTGTACTACTGTATATTACACTAGTTTACAAAACGAAGGAATGTAGGTATATACATTTAATACCACTATATTTTTCTTATATATTTTCACTCATTGAACTGGAAATTTATATTAACACATTTTCAGAAGCATAGAATTTTGAGGCTTTAAAATTTTCGATTTTTGGATTTACTACACCTGTTGGATCCAACAATTAAATCTTTAGTAGTTTAAATGTTATAGGGTCATGTATAGCAGAAAACCTCAAAATATAAAAATACAACGTTACGCTTATTTATATTAAAATAAAGGTATATATTAAGCTTATATGAAATATCAATCTCATATGTTCCATAATTATAATAAATAAGTAAAAATATTGGAATAAAAAATAACATGTTTTCTGTGACCTGTTTTCCTTACTACTGACATTCAACCTTTCGAAAGATGACCTGAATGTAATCGCAACAAATTTAATCAACTTAAAGGGGTTCGCTTCAAGTACTTACAATAGTTAAATGGCTCAGATGAATCAAGGTAAATCCAGTTCGAAATATGCAGGATGACCAAGCTATTGTTAAATAATAGAACGAACATCGGCAGTGAATAGTAACGTTCAATAGTGCCTACTAAATGCCAAACGCGAGCCAATAAATTTTGATTCGCTTGCAAACTTTCGTACAACATTTTCTGCAACGAAACATTGCCATCCGCTGGTTTCACAAACTCATGACGCAATAGCAACATATTCTCTTCCAACTGCAACAACATCTCATGTATCACTTCAACGAAAACACAAAACTGTACACTGCCAATTTGTATCATAATTCCCGAGAACACAGTGAACATCTTATAGATGAATGGCATTGTTTTGATCAGGAGCGCAAATTGTACCCGCGGCATAACTATGAAAAGGAATACAATTAAAATTCCTGTGTGTAACGCTAGACGACGACGTAAACTGTAGCGGCGCTTGGACTGCCTATCTGTTGCGGCTAACATGTTGCAATGCCATTGTATTTCTTCCTCCAGTTTAACTATGGCTACCAAAAAATTGCATAACTGACGATAGCCCAGCAATGCCGTCATTTGCAGTATCATTTGTATAACCGTCACACTAATGCTTTGTCCGATATCCAGTATAGCAGTGATGACATCTAAGTCATCTTTCGCAATATCGTCACTTATGTAAGCATTATTTATGTAAGTTGCACAAATTGTTATCGAGAGCAACACTAATGAATACATAACATAGAGGAGGCGCTGCAGTATTGTTTTGCATTTCGTTTGTTTGTTGCTGGAGAAGAACGGCGGTGGCGCCATTAGGCCGAAGTAAGCGAAACACCACTGATATGGTTCTAAAGCCGAAAGTATGAAAGAATTAAACTTGGACGCATTAGCGGCGTCGTTTGACTCATCATTATTGTGCATTTTTGCACATCAATGTTTTGCGGTCTGTGGCAAAATTAAAACTGTCCACGAAACCTAAAACTCAACTAAAACTGCAAAATTGAAATAGTTAATGAAGGAAATTTTTTTTTTAAATACATTCTCTATTACAGTCTATTTATACACTGCAGACTGCAGTCCATCGTTGCTTTTAATTTAATTAATTTCTATGTTACTCATACGTCACGTTGCACAAAGAGCGCAATGGAGTTGTCTACTATTAAGATTTCTGCATTGCATGTTTTTCAACAGAAATTCTCTGTGTAGACTCATAAAATTGTTTTAAATTAATTATAATATAATTATTGCACTTCACCAACACGTTTAATTATTTTGTGAATTGTGCACTAACGCGTAAGCGAAAAGAGGTCTTGAATGGATACTCAAAGTAGTCTTTTTTCGAAAATAATTCAATAGATAAACAGTTCACAGAAACCATTTATTGTTTGAATAAACATAAGATGTGATGAAATGCAAGGAAACGACTGAATCACTAGTACTTCAACATGAAATTATTTCAGTCTACATATATATAAAAGTCAGACTAAAAGGGGTACTCATAGGTCTTCATCATGTGAGATTCTTATGAAATTATGCCACACAGGAATCGATATCTCGAAAGTCCAGTTTTAAAAAACTATTCAAAAAAAAAATAAAGCAGAAAAATAAACCTAATATTGTGGAACACTAAAATCTCACTTACTAACAAGGAAGCTCAAGCAAAAGTCTTTGGGTTAGTATTCTTGTAGTCTCTAAGAACAAAAACTATAATCTTTTGAATAGAAATATATGCTATCGAATAAGAATAATAATTTTAACAGATAGCCAAGCAAACATCAAGGCACTAAAAACTCAAGTAGTACCATTGAAACTGAGGTCAAAATAATCAGATTTACTTTGTATGCGTTCCGTAACATGTTAGAATCGGAATCATCACTGTTTCTCAAACCACACCGCCGCTTTCCTCACTTTTTGGAAGAGAAGAAAAAAAGAAAAAAGGATATTCGGGAAAACACCTACAACTTTACTACTTTACTACACTTATTGCGATCTACAACCTAAGTCAATGTATAAAATGTCTAAACTTAACAACAAATAATTTGAGAATTACATCAGAAATTGTAACAGAAAATTGTATATTGAATCATCATATCTGATGGACACAGTACAGAGAACACCGTCAGCACCGATAACGTAGTTCTCAATAGATTACGCCTCAGTTGAAACAGCTGACTGAAATGTTTCTTACCCAGTTCGGACCAGATCGATCTCACAAAAGAGTTAATTTGTCCAAATTTATTTAACTAAGCTTACATATTTTTTTTTTGATTCCCAGCTTGGCCATTGCAAGTGGGTACTAATTTCTGGGAAATAAATGTCAGGGAACAGAGTGCCTGCCTTGGTAAACTTGTCTACCCTGCCGTTGGCCTAAATATCCCTCAATTCAGATACCTATGTAAGTTGAGCACTATCACGTCTAGCTAGCTCGTTAATAGTAGCCCAGCATTTTCGAATTATTGAAGTTGTGGCTGTAACACCAGTAGAAGAACTTTCACTTGGTATGAAATTTACTGTAAATTGTATATGATAAACGATAACACAATTTTCTTATTTAAAAAGCGATATAAAAAAATATAGCTGAATCAAACGGTAAAACACTTTTTCACACAATTTATTATCTACAGATATGCTACTACTTTCAAACTAAGAAGAGCATGTTGTGGTACTACTAGTCTAAAGTAGTAAGACTAAGGTAAAATGTTCATCACAAGCCGTTGACCAGCAAATAACAAAATTGCTGCAACAAACTATACAATTCAAAACACTCAACTTACTAAAGACTACAGCAGGAGCACAAAAGAAATGGTAATAGAATCGCCATCAGCATACTTCCGACACAAAGCAGCAACTTTTATTACGGATTATGCTGCACATTAAGCTGACAATTGGCAGTTGAATGCATATTCATATGGGAATTTTCATTTTAAGCACAAAACTACTTCAAATATGACACTAACACCTATAATAGAAGGAAAGCAGCTACTGGAAGACTACTCTACACTCACAACGTAAGTTAACTATCATAGATAATAGCAACAACCACTACCACAATACAACAACAGCAACAACTTATTGACTTCCAATGCATCCGACAACCTAAAACCGACCAACAAACAACTAACCATTCAGGACAACACACCAACAATATCAATGATTCCAACAACAATAACATCAAATATCAACTCAATTCTAAAGCTGCTAATCTCCAACACCAAGTGAGACACACTGCAGAGCAAAAAAACAAGGACTCACTTCAACCCACTTCTGGAAAGCTCCCATACACCATACACACGTACAAGTTTGTGCATAAGTGTACGATTATATTTATAGAGGAACTTAGTGCAGCATCAAGTGTCCTTTTTAAACTTAAACTATTATATTTTCCTGTTTTAGTTTTATGTTTCCGATACTCTTTTTTTGAAGAAATTTGTGCTATTTTTATTTTTGAGCTCAACTCCTTCTCCAGCGTGTGTTGGTGATAGCCGTTGGCATTTTTAATTTACATACTTTCATGGTTTCTTTATTTTTAGAAATGTGTGGCAGCATGGCTTTTGCATTGCTTGCATGCTTTTTATTTCGCCATTTTGCTTTTGAAACTGTCACTCACGTGCACGCATACACACTCAAACCGATGCAAGCATGCTTGAGAGCGTAAATGTAACTTACACTTTTGGCAATCCTCGCATCCTTTCATCATATGTTCTCATTCACATCAAAACACTTTGATATCCTTGTATTTGTGTCTGTGTGAATGTGTAAATGTGTGTTTTTAATATCAGAAAAGCATATTTGTAGTAAAGTAATGATTTTCGTTTTCAGTGTGTGCGCTTAATTAGGGAAAAAATCGGGTCAGTAGTATACTTTTAGCGTTTCCAATTAAGCGCATTATTCCGATATTTATTTTAAAATCTAACTATTTCTCCCTTTTTTTGTAAATTCTTAAATGAGCATATGTGTTTTATTGTTCAACATTTGTCAAAAAATATCATTTCAACTACTCTATCTTTGGAAGAATTGTAGAACACAAAGAGGAAGATTTATAGTCCAATAAGAAATATTTAAGATATCATATAGTGCGCCATCCTTGTACGGTCTGCTTATGTTTATTGCTGTAGTGGCTTAGTTTTCTGAGTTCTCCCAAGCAGAATTAATACTCAAATACCTCTATCGATATTTTTCTATATTTGAATAATTAAGGTAAGGTTTGGTAATACCGACGGATGACGTCCAACCACGAAGAAGGGCCTGAAGGTGTACTGGTTACAGATTTATTAGATTTTAGTGAGGCGGTAGCTACTTTAATGGGACAGTTTTATTTCAGTTCATTTTTGCACCCATCAGTTACGGAGAAACAAAAATCGGTTCTGACAGAGACTTGTTATAGCCAGGCAACGCTATATTACATCCAGAGGGTATTAGTTATCCATTTAGCGACACACTAATGTAGTGCCATTCAACTCATTGTTATGGATCTAATAACAACGGAGATTTTAAAGATTTTTTAAAATTTTTACATTCTGGATCCATACTGTTCTGTCACCACAAAATCGGCATAAAAACAGGCACACCTTAAGATGTTCTCAATATGGCATAAACTAAAAGGTATGAAGGTACTGTATTTGGCTTCACCACACTTCTTTCATTAAGAACTCGAGTCCTTTTTTGTATGACTTAAATACATTTAATAAACATTTAATGTAATCCAACTGTTGTTTTTCCACCATGATCACACACTGTATAAACTTTTTAATGAATCAGTACACAAAACTACTGTATAATATATTTATTGAATCAATTAGATAAGTTTATATCGGCTGTCCTAATGATCCACCTAAGACTATTATGTTTTTGTGAAGGAACTGAAAAGTTTGAAAATTACCTTGATCCCTTGCCAAAGCCTTAAATACTCGTTAGAAGAAGGTCCTGTAACTGATCAGGCTCCTCAAAAAAGTTACCCTTTACATTAAAAAAAGTCCGCAAAATCGTTTTGGCAAACCGTAAACTGAAGTTTCCGGAGATAAAAAATACTTTAAGCATTTCAAAGAAACGTATCGGTTTCATTTTGCATAACCATTTACTTATGAGAATGCTCTTTTGTGATATAAGTGCTGACAGTTGAGGAAAAACAAGTACGTTTTAATGATTCTATAAACAGTTCAGAGCTATAGAAACAAGCTAAAAAGATTTTTGGCATCAGTATGTTACAATAAAAATCAAATTTTATTATAAAAATCAAATTTTATTATAAAAATCTTAAATTAAAAAGAAAAGAGTAGCTCTCTACAGGGAGAACTACTTTAATTGTAAATGATCAAGTCTCAAATAGTATTTATTAAAAAAAATTGTGAAATGTCACCATACTATGTGACAGAATACATATTGAATTTAAATTAAATAAAAAAAAAAAATGTTACAATGGACGAAACTTGGATTCAGTAGAGTTAAGTTAGGAGTCAGCTGAGTGGCGAACCTCGCTCAAAGTAGCCAAGAAAGCAACAAACAACTGGCAAGGTTGTGGCTATAATCATATAAAGTTATTACTTTGACAATTATTCCATTGCAAGGGACAATATTAAACCGGCAGTTTAAGCACTGCAATTGGATCTTCCTCATATGTTAGCTACTACAGGTTTTACATCGCTACTGGCTATTATAAATTAACGTCTGTTTCGTTCAATCATTTAAAATCTTTTAAAATTATTTATTTTTTATTTAAAATATTATTTTCCTCACTTTAACCGAATTGTTAACTTTACGTGCTGTCAAACAAAGCTAATAAATTTGTGTTCCAGGCATTCGGCAGTGAATCTGCAAGCAATAAATTTAATTTATGCCGCAAGAAAATCAGTTAATAGTTAATATTGCATTAATAATTTATTTGATTTTAAAGAATTTTTTATATATACCAACCACAGCACACA